TACCAGCCCAACAATATGCTGCAAACTGAGTAGAAACCTAACTCGAGCTAAATGCGGTTAATCAAGTTGCAGAATTTATTTAGTTTTTAAAAAAATGTTCTTATTTGGTTGAGTGCATTCTTTATTCTGGTCAAGTTTGGTTTAAAGTGCTTTATCCTCTACGTTCTTTGTTTCTGAGTTAGAATTTGAGTTAATCTCAATTGGATGTGTATAATTTCAATGCAAGTATAACTAAAAAATTGCAGTACAAAATTAGAGACTAAGCGTGAACATGCTGTTAACTCAATGTAAATCCAATACTGGTTCACAATATTACTCATCAGGTCTTCTAAAAAGGCTTGATGTTGTCAGATTTTGTAAAAATAAATCAATAACTGCATTTTTCATGAATTTCTGCAATGGACTTCGCTCTGTGATTCTGTTTTGCACATTTGTCAGTGTTTGCTATGCGTTTTCAATTTTATTTATATTTCTATACAGTGTATGTTTCTGTACAGTATAACCTCCCACAGATGGTAGTATAATAGAAATGCATGGGATTGTTAAACCATATTGAATATTTAATCTGTTATTTCTTTTCAGAGGTGGATAAAACAGGCAATGGATGAGGCCATGGTGCAAACTCCCCATGCGCCAGATAAAGGACAAGAAACGTCACCCTTATACCAAAGCAGTGACAGCAGCACTGTTCCTGATGTACGGGATAGCACCATTGCTTCAATTGGTAGGTGGAAAACATAACCTTTTTTCTCATCATGTAAAGCAAAGTCAGCAAGCTGACATATCAGATTATCTGTTCCTATCTGTCTATGTCCACAAGGAGGTGTAATGAATGGGATGACACCTTTATGATTTCTGTGTATCCCTGTAAGGAAGTGGTTGTGATTAAGTATTGAATACTAGATGAAGGTATAATCCCAGACCCATTACTTCCATCAAGTGGTCATTCTTCAAATCTCAGACCACTGTGCTATTATTGGCAAGGCATCAAAGCAAAGCCTGATCCCATTTTCATTTGATTTCAGTGCATGTATACTTCCAGCACAGGTCACAATGCAACTGTCAGGAGAAGTAACCCAAATGATTTTCTCTCTCATTAGTGTTCCAGTGCTCCACACCAGCTTCTTCTTTTCTCTTTGTCTTCTAAGCATTGCATAGCATATTTGCATGATTCTATCACTAACTTTTGATAGCTTGGAAAAGGTATAGTGCAGGTCCACCAGAATTATTAGGAGTTGAAAGGATGTCATCAATTTTTGTGGTTTCATTTATTGGCTAATGTATCTGTATTCTTAGATCTCTTTACTCTTCTACCCAACTTATTTTCTTCTCTGCCAAGGAATAAGTGATTGCCTTATTCTTCCAACTGAAATGAGCAGCTGTGCACTTCTCTATATTCCGTTTTTCTGTCCTCCACCCTTACTAGTTGCATCTTCCCAATTTAGTCGCATATGCAAAATTCACCACCATACTTCAGATTTTTGTGTTCACATTTATATTTGGCTCAGTGCAGCATAGCATTCTGGTATTATACAAAACTCTCCTGAATTTGAGCCTTTTTCAGCATTCAGTCTTTTACTTTGATTTTTAGTGTTAAATATTTCTTCTGAGTGCTGTTGATTTCCTTTTGAAATATTGCCTACTGTTCTTCTGCCATGTTAATATTTTTCTCCAGTTTATCTCCCTTGGTTCCACCCTTTATTGCCTCATGGTTTGCTTTTTTCCAGTGTATTACTTTAGTCTTAGTACTATCTATATATCCTCTTTCATTATCTTAAACTTTCTTTTATTGTCAACACTGCTCCCTAGATACTGTCCCAACAAAGGCTGTTGTGGCAATTAAAAGCTCGGGGTGTAAAGGGTAGCATATTGGTGCGGATAGAAGATTGACTGGCTAACAGAGTGTAGGTGTAATTGGGTCTTTTTCAGCTTGTTAAGATGTAACAAATGTTGTGCCACAGGGATCAGGGTTGGAGACTTCAACTGTTCACAATTTATAACAATGACTGGTTGCAAAGAACAATTGCCAAATTTGCTGACAACACAGATAGGAAAATAAGTTGTGAAGAGGACCGAAGAAGGTTACAAAAAGACATGGATAGGTTACGTAAGGGGGCAAATAGGTGGGAAAATGTGAAATTGTCCATTTTGGCAAGAAGAATAAGAAGTAATCATGCTATGGTGAGAGATTGCTGAGCTCTGAGATGCAATGGAATCTATGTCCTCGTGCATGAATTTCATGATATCATGTGGGCACAACTTCTAATTAGAAAAGTTAATAGAATGTTATTACTTATTGCAAGGGAATTGAGTACAAGAGGAGGGAGATTATATTTCAGTTGTTTGGGGCACTGGTACGATTGCACCTGGAGCACTATTAGTCATCTTGAGGAAGGATGTTCAGGTATTGGTGGCAGTTCAGAGAAGATTTTCAAAACTAATATCCCTGGAATGGGCAGGTTGTCTTAGGAGGAATGGTGGGACAGACTAGGCTTGTATCCTCTGAAGTTGAGGAGGAAAGGATGACTTGATTGCAACATATAAGATCCTAAAGTGTCTTGATAGGATAGATATGGGAAGGACATTTCCTGTTTTGGGAGAATTTAGAACTAGGGCTCACGATTTGAAAAATTAAAGATCACCCATTTGAAATCGATTCAGTGAATGTTTTTCTTTGGCGGTTGTGTCTTTGGAACTCTCATTCCAACACAAAGGTGTTGGAAGCAGAGTCTTCCTGTACATTTGAAACAAGACATCACTGCGCCTGCATGCAAATCCTTTTGCAGTGAAGGCCAATTTTTCATTAGCTGCATCTGTATATTTGTCACTGCCTTCTGTGACATATTGATAAGGACATTCAGGTCCCTTTGCACATCTACACTTTCCAAGCTGTCACCATTTAAAAAAAGTCTGCACATCTGTTCCTCCTCCTAAAATGAATAACCTCTCATTTTTCTGCATTTTACTTCATCTGCCATGTTCATGCCGACTCACTAAACCTGTTCAAATCCCCCTGAAGCTACTTTACATCTCCCTCATCGTACACATTCCATTTAGTTTTGTATCATCTGTAGATTTGGAAATATTTCATTTGGTCTTCACATCCAAACCATTGATATATTTTATGAGCAGATGCCAATGGGCAAATAACCCATTTATTCCTGCTCCCTGATTTCTCTCTTCGCCAATCCTTTCAATGCCAGTATAGTAACTCTTATCCCATATGCATCAATTTTGCTAATCTACTTCCTGTCGGAAACCTCAAAAGCCCTGTGGAAATCCAAAAATACTTTGTCCGTTGATTTCCCCTTAACAATTTTGTTACTAATAATCTCAAAACAATTCCAAGTTTTTTTGAATTTGATTTTTCATTCACAAATGGTTATTGATTATGCCTAATCAAACTATTTTTCTCCAAGAGTCTGTTTATCATGTCCTTTTTGATAGTTTTTAGCATTTTCACTGCTACAGGTGTAAGGCTGATAAGATTGTAGGTTCCTGTTTTAAGTCTTTCTCCTTTCTGAAATGGTGAGATGATATACATGACTCAATGACATTTGTTAGCTTACAGTCTGCAGGAGTCTGCAGAATTTACAGGGAAGGAACTGATCATCTTCTAAAAATCTGCATATGCCTGCAGACTTTTAGAAGATGATCAGTTCCTTCCCTGTAAAGATATTTATTTGTTCCTTTTTCAACTTTGTTCTATTTGTCTTCTACACTATCTTGCCTTGTTTGGTTATGGACTTCACTTGATTTTAACTTGTGGCCTGCAACACGTCGTAGTAAATAAAAATCAGAAACCATTTACTTGCCGGCTTTGTAGATTATAAAGAAAACGTAATTCATAGGTGAAAAAAGACACTAATTGTCAGCTCCTTCTGTGGAAACGTAATCAACTATTTAATTATAGGAGTGAACTCTCAAATCAGAAGCATCTGAAAAATGCACAAGCAATTATAGAGCAGCAAAATATAACCAAGTTACCATACAGCTAATGATGTCTATTAAAATTTGGCAAATTGTTGATGGTTCATGTCTTTAAAGTCTTTGAGGAGTTGGTGGTACAGGCAGTGTCTCTGGACTAGCAATCCAGAACTGCAGGCCAATGCACTGGGATCATGTGTTCAAATCCCACCATGGCAAATGGTAAAATTTGAATTCAGTCCATAATGTGGAATAAAGAGTTGGCCTAATAAAGGCCGTGGAATCATTGTCGATTGTTATAAAAACATACCTGGTTCGTAACAGTTCTTTAGTTAAGGAAATCTGCCATCATTTTGAAATCTGGGCTACATGGACTCCAGACCAACAGTAATGTGGATGACTCTTAACTGCCTTCTGGATAGTTAGTGGTGGGCAATCAATGCTGGCCCAGAGAGTGACACCCATATCCCCATAAATGAATAAAACAAAAATGCATGACTATCTCTGTAGCTACTGTGGGGTATAAGATACTAGGTCCTGGGGACATATCAGTTTTCAGCCCCATTAATTTCTCTAGTACAACCTCCTTACTCGTACTAATTACCGTCAATTCCTCATTGCCCGTAGAAACTTGGATCTGTAATTCTGGGAGATTTCTTGTATCTCCTTCAATGAAAACAGATACAAAGTAATAACTTAGCTTCTCTGCCATTTGTGTATTCCCTCCTGACTCTGCCTGTATGGACCCACATTCGTTTTAGCCAGCCGTTTCCTTTTGATATACCTGAAGCAGTTTCACAGTTCCTTTTTTTGTGATTTTAGCTAGATTGCATGTGTGTGTGTATAAATAATTTTGGTTTTTTTTGCTGTATCTAAAAACTTGCTAATCGTCATTACATCTTTATTACTATTTCTGGTCTTTCAGAAGCCTTTTCTTTAAAAGTTGACTTGTTTAGAGTTTTAGTACCACAAAGGAATGTACAGTTGCTGTAAACCATGTAATTGTTCTTTAAAGCCTGCCTGTTGCCTATTTTGTCATGCCTTTTAGTGTATTTTTCGAAATCAGTCAATTTGTACCCCTTGCTTTCAGAATTTCCTTTTCTCAAATTTAACACTCCTGCTTCAAATTAAACTACCTCACTTTTCGGACAGTGTGAAATTCTATGACATTGTGGTCGCTCATCTCTAAAGATTCTTCAAACATATAAGGCTTGAAATTGTTTTGCTAAGTTGGCAAGTGGTAAGCACATTGATCTGCATTCTGATATATCTGCAAAAATACTTGGATTTTTTTTGGAAATAATTCAAACCATTGACAGAACCTACAATGGGAAGAATAACTGCAGTGTTGAAATATTCACAGGTTTAACGTATCCCAGCTGCTTAACTGTGTAAAACGTATTTCTTTGCAATTTATAATGGAATGTCTGATAACTTCTCTGTTTTGTAGAGTTGATAACGCCTTTGAAGAAGCGAAAAGCACGGTATCTGTCAGACGTGAGTGTGACTGATTTGCCCGGACCTTGTAGTCCACTATCAGCGCCTGCATCTGTCACAGATACAGTTATGTCCAGCCCGACAGTAATGACGCCTTGCACCTTGTTTCCAGGAGAAGAGGAGAAGAAAAATGGATCTAATGTAATTTACTCTCCCCTTCACTCCCATGCTGCTAGCCGATGTAATACCCCACTACAGTTTGAGGTAAATATATCTCCAATAAAGGGACTGCCATCAACATTTAAGATGCAAATTAATGTTTTAGTATTGTTTCAGAAAATAAAACTGTTCCAATGTTGTACCTTGTTTGACAGAATTTTTTTTTTAAAAAATTAATTAATTTATATGTAAATATATGGGTTCATGGCAGCTGAACAAGCACTCAGTTTGGAGCCAGAAACACCTAACACTTTGCTTTTATAATAAATTATCTTTAGTATATTGATTCTAACTGTTTGATTGAATTACGCAGCATTGAGAATATTTTTTATTTACATATCATAAAGATTAATTTTTGATGTTCCTGTAAGTTGAGAGACCAGATGTATGGAGTATGATTGCATACTCTGAGCTAGCAGTATGTCAACAAATGTGCAGTTTTGAAGCCTAGAGTGAAGTGCACCTAATATATACAATGCAATTGCCCTACCTCTTCCAAGTGCATATTGTACAAAACAAATTTGTCTTTGTCTTTTAGCCATCTTCTTATTCTTAACAGCAGGAACCACAAGGCTTAATTATTTATTTCTTAATTATTTATTCATTTCTGAAGAAGGGTCTAGACCCGAAACGTCAACTTTCCTGCTCCTCTGATGCTGCTTGGCCCGCTGTGTTCATCCAGCTCTACACCTTGTTGGCTTAATTACGCATCAGTTTTGGAATAACTGAAAAATGCATTGCAAAGATAAAAATGTGTAAAGTCTGATCATGAACAGCAAAACCATCTTTTTAATTGTTTTTCTTAATTTACTTTTTCGCTTACCCCTTTCTCCACTTTGCAAAAACTTTTATTTGTGTATTAGCTGATGTGCTGCTGAGTTTGCGAGGATTTGAGAGGAAAGGGCTAGGCAGAATAGGGATCAAATTGGTTGATTTCACTGCATTCTGTTGATGCAGAAACGGGTGGCTAATAGCCAAAAGAAATTGAATCAAAGAAGAGAAAATTTAAATATTTTGCTGCACCATGTGCACTGTATCTTATGGTGTGAATACAAATGTAGGAATCTACCCATTGGAACAGTTTTATAAAACTTTAATATGAGGAAGAATGTCCTAACAATATTGATTGTTTTTAAGTGGAAGAAAGTATAAAGCATAATTCCAAAATGGCACCCCCTAAGAAGACGGTGGGGATCATTTCAACTTTCTCTCTATTTGTAGTTGGGTTTATGGTTTTATGACAATAACAAATAGCAGAAATAGGTTCCCTACAATAACATTTAGGGGATAACAGTGTGGAGCTGGAGGAACACAGCAGGCCAGGCAGCATCAGAGGAGCAAGAAAGTTGATGTTTCGGGTCGGGAGGTCAATTTTCCTGCTCTTCTGATACTGTCTGGCCTGCTGTGTTCCTCCAGCTCCACACTGTGTTATCTCTGACTCCAGCATCTGCAGTTCTTACTATCTCTGAACATTTAGGGGATGGCTGGTTTAGATCCCCTCCAAACTTTTTCAATCAACCTGGTGACATTTTGATCTTCAGAAAGGCAAAATGTTCAGCTGTCAGGATTGTGGGATAGGTTCCAGACCTTCTTTAAACTCTGCAGCTGCAATTTCAATAAAATCACAAGTCCAATAGCTTTGTTCATGCAGTTTTCATTTCATACACTTCCTGATCCCCATAAGACAAAAGTTGTGTCCTGTTGTTTAACCTGTTGTTTGGAACTTCATTAACTGACACAGAGTATTGAAGGTGAACATAATTTTCTGTTGTTTGCATTTTACATTATATCAATAAAAGGAGATGCTTATGTTCTAAACCTTACTTTCATTTTTAACTCTTAATATGCATGATGTCAGCATTAGCATTAATCCCACATTTAGGACAATGACAACATAATGTTTCTACTTCTTTGCTTCTACAAAGCATTCTGTTTCATGCTTTAGGATTTTGAGTGAAACAAGAAATATTAGTGGGAAAGATTTAGTATGTGGGTTTGCAGTATATTTCTTTGGTTTTAATTAACCTTTCAGAATTTCTCCCCCAGATACCAACTTACATTTTGACACAACTTTGACTCCCAGACTTCTACCTACATGCCTGGTGGTCCAAATGCAAAGGATTACTTAGCTGTTTGATTAATTTACTTCAATGTCTCCCTGTGGGAGGAAGCTTGAAACTCCATTCAATACTTCCCCTGTTAATGTGCCCATGATGTGGGATGTGGTGTACTCAGGAATAGAAGATTGAATCCATGTTGCTAGCATTCATGCTGTCTTGAGTCAAGTGGCCCGGTCAACTTCTGAAGCTTCTTCAACCAGCTTATATTTCTTCCATAAAATATTTAAGAGTATTTTCCTATAAATGTCTTGACAGTCAACATTATACAGTGGCATTCCAAAAAGACATTATGCAGAGAACACAGATTTTAGTGTGAGCTTATTCTAAATTAAGACCTTTAAAGAGAATTGTGTAATTATTATAGAAATGCTCCCATATTCCTTGAGTAATTGCAAGCTGTTTTTGGTTCATTGTATGATTTGTAGAAGTGAAGTTTTTAAATCATTATTCAAATGTACTTGAATTTATGTCAAGACATTTAGACTGAAAGTACTGTTGAGATTTAATGCTCTGCATGGTCTTCACGGTACTGTAAGTTCATATTGCAGATCTTTTTCAAAGTCGGACAAGTGCAAATATGTATTAATTCAAAGCATGATAATTACACTTCACCATAATTTTGTCTTTTCATATTAAATATTTAACAAATATAAAGCCCTATTTACCAATTTCTTTGAACATTTCAATATCTCAGAAATGCAGTCTAAACCGTTTCTAAACCCAATTAGACTAGTATTACTTCTGATATCTTGAAATGTAGCATTCTGATTATGTCACTCAATTTAGTATTAACTTCTTAAATTTGTCACAATATATAGATTTTGAAAGCTTCAAATTTGACAGTACTTTCAAGTCTTACTACAAATCTTCCTTGCCCAGTTTATTTATTTATTTCCAATATACAATTAACCAATGCGCAGTCCTTTACTTTCAAAGATGTAAAGTTTCATTTTCGATTTCCACTGCCAAGTTTCTTTCTTATTCTAAATTCTAATGAAGATCTTTTTCACAGTTTGTATCTGATGCTCTTCCCAATTTGCTTGAAAATTTCACAGACTTATACATGATTTCAGTATCCAGGTTCCTGAGATAAGCAACCTAACACCTCCCTAATCATCAAATGTTAAAGCTCTTATGATCTCATGCCTAAATTTTTGACCGTTGCTCACTAGCTGACATTTCAAGTTCTAGAAGAGTAGGATGAGAAGGCCTCTTTGGAGTATAATCCAGGATTCAAGGAAGCAAATATACAATAGTTGAAAAACTTTGATCGGCAGCTCTTAGAAAGTGATAAATTTCTACAAATCCTTATAAGAAGAGAGGAATTCTATTGAGAAAAAGTCTTTCACGTCCTCTCAGTCCAGTGTGCTACGTATCGGGTGAATCTTTCTTTTCAGAGTAATCACCGTTTGTGTAAGGAAAAGTGATAACCAATTTTTGCATAAAAGGTACCGATTGACCATATTAATGAGTCTTGTTTCTTGGTGTTTTTTTCTGAGGGATAAGTTTTAGCCTCTACAAATTTTTAAATTCTTAAATGAGTTGTGGAAGTCACTGGCATTTTTTGTCCATTCCTCGTTATCTTTGAATGGATTGGCTATCTAGGTCATTTCAGAGGGCAGTTAACTTCTGTGGGTCTGGAGTCTTGCATCAGCCAGAGTGGATAAGGCTGGCACATTTCCTTCCCTGATATAAACCAGATGGGTTTTTATGACAGTCACAGTGCTGTTAGACTAACCTTTTTCAGTTCCAGATTTTATTGAGTTCAAGTTTCGCCATCTGCCATGTTGGAATTCAAACCCATGACCGAAGAGCATTAGCCTGGGGTTCTGGATTACCAATGTTTGCTGTGTTGAATTGCATAGACGGTTAGTGGAAGCTGCTGTCAGAAATTAACTAGACATTACGGGATCAGTATTGTAAATATTTACAATATCATAAATGTTGCCCTTTTTAACACAAATTGTACCAAATCGATTGGTGGTCAAGGCATGATAGAAAATTGCCAGTAGATGTTGTTTCCTGATCTCAGTGATGGTGAGCTGAGTGTATCTTCCTACAGATAGGCTCTGCAACTTTCAAATATTTCTCAGCAGCTTGCAATAAATTACATTGCCAAAAACCTGACAGCAGATGCCAGGAATGATCCAGTTTTTTTCCTTTGATCTCTTGAAGAAATTGATTCCTCTCAAATAAATTTTCACTTGTGCCAGTTGGCTTTTCTTTATCTATGAGCTTTAGTGGTGTGAGAGCAAAATCTAACCTTATCCTCAAGTTATAAATGCACAGGATTCCCTGAAATGGTCACTGGATAACAATCATAAATGGACCTTGGCTTATTTTCCTCTCTAGCCCAGGTCTGTGTAGCTGACCTGTTGACTGAATTAAATCATGGAACTATTGAAAGTTAGAATGCATTTCTTAAAAAAAAAAAATCCAAAAGCTGCAACATTGGCTGAACACTTGGTGTATTATGCTAAGCCCAGCAATCCAAGAGACTCCAAGTTGTGATTTCAGTCACAGTTGGGGCTGACATTGTAGTTCTGTTCAGTGTCTGTAGTTAGGGTAGAAGGGAGAGCAGTCAGGTTTCTGACTCGATTGCTCTGCCATGGGGCAGGAAGTCTACTTTTTGTACTTGGACTTTAATTCATGCGTGAGTCACTGTCATTTTAGGAAGAGATTTGGACCAAATTTACATCAGAATTCAAAGCATCAAAAGCTTTGGATTTAATGTAAATTTTTTTTTAAAACTGATGTAGAATAAATGGTTAGATAAATTATTTTGCCAAACTTCATTGGCTCAAACAGTCTCAATTCCAGAAGGCACTTGAAATATGCACAAACTTTGCATCAAATTTGCACTAATTGATGCTTGAGAAGCTGGGAGTTCAAAAAAGATGGCTAATAGGATGCTATATTTCTAATTTTTGGCAGGTTAAAATTTGCAGCCTGGCTGGTATTACTCTGAAGGACCTACTTTTCTTCATTAACTAATGTTATGAGTTTTTTTTTTAAACAGCCTGAAATGAAGAGAGGAAGACTGAGTAGACGTGTTTCCTTCTTCTCCTTTCGGATGTTTTTCCTTATTCTAATAGCACAGCTAATTTGTTCATTCCTGCACTAATGGCTTTTTGTTTCCAGATGGATTACATTAGATTAGATTACTTTCTAGCATGAGCCACCTGACATGATTTCTATCAAGCTGCTACTAGGCTTTATTGAGGTCTCTCTATTTTGTTCCAATTTTCAATTTAAATAGGCTATAGAATTCAATGTATAACAGGCACTGTATATAATGTGCAAATGTGTATTTTCTTCTGAGAGATTCCAGTGCATTGCAGAGGAAGAACTCAGTTCATATTTTCAGCTTTGCTTTTTGAAAAAAAGTCAGTCAAAATCTTTGTTTTCAAACTCCTGAATTTGGCTTTGTATCTGATGTGTAACTAATATCTTTTTCAGAGAATTTTGATTTAAACTTTTTGTGACAGGTGAACTCCATCACTTCTATTTACAAGATGTACACCTTTGCTGATATTTAGATTTTGAGAACTATTCCATGAAGTGTGTTCTCTTAGGTTCTTATATAGGCCACCCAAAATATTTTACAAGCTTAATTTGATATTCTTGCATGGTATAAGTTTATGATCTGAATCGATTTATGTTAACAGAGAGTTATAAATTTTATAAATCAAAATGGCCTTCAAAATATTCCTTTTGGTTTATGTTCTGAGGTCAAAAAATTAGTTTTGGGACGTTTTTCTCTTTTTTTTTCTTACTGCATTAGTTACTATTCTGTTTCTATGTATAGTATTTACTTCAAGTTGTCACATTGTCACCTTTATTCTGCAGTTTGAGTATGAGAATGATGAAGAAATATGTTAGCACCTAGATTATGCAAGATAACATTCATTTTGCATAACTCAAAGTGGGCAGTATAGATCCTAAAATGCTGGTAGAATTCATCTTGAGAAAAACATGAACATCTCATTCTCTGAAATCGTAACAATTTACTGAGGAGGAATGTCAAAGGATCAAATGTTTCTCTGAACTGTGCCACCATAAAGAGATTATTTGTATTCTTGAAGGATCTATCTGAATATCAAAATTTCCAGCCTTTGTCTTTACAATATTGCCTCTTTGAATTCTTTTATATTTGTTCTTTAAAAACCACAAGTTTGAATTTGAATTCGTTTTGTGCTTAAAAAAAAGTATACTCATGACCCTGAACAATGTTTAACAGCTTATTTTCTAAGTGAGTTACTGCACTGCAAAGTGGGCCAGCCAGTACTTATCACTAATAGCTGCGAAAGGATGATGTTTTTGATAAGTTAACAAGTCATATTTCAGAGAATACGTTTAAAATTGCCTCAAACAACTCTTACAAGTTGAAGAGCATTATTGTGAAGCCTGAACCTGAGAGAAATTCTTGACACTGTCTTTACCAGTGTATTACTGAGCCTGTGAACATATGGCTTGAATCTGGCCATTGTGCACATCTAGCTTCTGACCTGCTTGCCTCAACAGACTCTCAGGGGTCTGCACATTGACACATTGCAATTTTAATCTTCTAATGCTTCTTTATAGACCAAGAAACACTCCAATTTAGTTTTGCATTGTCATTTTATTTTAATAAAGCCTAACCATAAGCCACAGGTTATTATTTTATTCTTGGTTGTGCTTTGGTTTACAAACAAACATGGAGAAAAGGGTTTTAATTTAAGCACTAATAGTGAAATAATTAAAATAAAACAGCATCTTCCTCATTAAGCTGCTGCATATGACAGAGGTGGGAGTATTGAACTTGATTTGCAGTGACAGTTTAGTTTTCTACTGCATAATTGCATGAAGATTGGATGATGTTATTTTAATCAGTTGCCCTTACTTTCTTGAATGGTTGTTTTTATGGTTTTTCTTCATTTTGCACTGAGCTTAAATTTAAGGTCCAATGTGTTTGTGTTCCATACCCTTTATGCCAACTCTTGCTACCTTTTTTAGTTGCTCCACTGTAGCAAGTTGCTGCTATCAAATCATATCCTACAATAAGTGGATCAGCATCTGTATGTCCTCTAACTATAGTGAGACATGAAGATGTGGAGTCAAGCACTTTAAGCCTGAGCACCCATCCCAAATCAACTTTTGCAATCTTTTAGAATTGAGCTGTTTTATGTAGTTATTCCCTCACCAGGAGGGAAGGTTGAACTGATCATATATGGTTTTGAGAAAGGGATGGGGGTATGTTTTTTTTAATGTTATAAGGAATAATAGTATTTAAACTTCAGTTTTCAAATCACTTCTAACCAATATAAAAATTTCTTCTCAAAATGGATATATTGCTTCTAGAACCAGGCCTTTATTGAACTTAGCTGTGAATTGCACAGTGCCAAACTGTGCTGTCACCGGTATAATTATTTGTGCATTTAAGATTATCCAGTCATTTGGGTTTGTGTAAAATACAATTTTTTTTTCCCCTTTGAGAGTTTGTTTGTAACTAAATCAGTTTTGCAATAAAAGACTGTGGCTTTCTCTTGCTTTTGCTTACCCAACTTGTGAGTAGAATTCTAATAACATGCTTTTCCCTTCTCTTAGAACATTTCCTCTCCTGAGAGTTCCCCAGTGCATAGGCCTGAGCCGTTTTCACCAGAGGTAGTTATCCTAGTATCTCACTTAGATTAGAAAGGCTGAAATAAGCCCTTGTAGCATCATATCTCTCTCTCTCTCTCTCTCTCTCTGTGTTTCCTACGCAGTCCTGTTAATGCATGATTCTGATTATGATATATTTAGTTGAGTTTGTGTGCATGTGATGCAAGTGGTTAATCTTGCCAAAGTAGGCAAGAATCACCTTTTGGGGATTGATTTGGGGTGCGGAGGAAGAGAGTGAGAGAGAATGAGACAAGGATTGAGATCGTAAATCTGTCTGTGTATCTAATTAAAAAAACAACTTTAAATAACACACAAACAAAACTAAACTTTAATCTCAACTTTAAGAAATTTGATGATTTTTAAAAAAATAGTCGGCAAAATTTTGTTCAATTTGGCTAGAAACTGCACTCTGCTAAGGATTAGTCAACACATTGAAGTTGTTACAAGATTCCTTTTAGAATTTCTTCTGATACATTTGAACATAATAGTCCTTTTTTGTATATTGAGCAGATTTGCATAACTGCCTTTTTGAAATTTTTCAGTAAAGATTCATCTCTTCTTTAATGCCCAGTACATGATTTGTCATATTGAAAGAAAATTTGGGAAGGAATTTTGTCAAATACTCATCCATTGCAATGAAAATAAAAGCATACTGGAATTGAGTTCCTTGAAATAACAGTTAACATAGGCTAAATGGCTGTAACAGTTCTGAAACATATTACATTGCAAATAGTTGCTTCTACCTCATCCAAACTTGACAAAAAACAAATTCCAGGAGCTTGGTTCAACCTCACAACCAACATATCTCTCTGATAAGTACTTTACTCTTGTCACAGTGATTTTCACATGGCATACTTCTATATAGTCATCTGAATATTGAATCATTTAAAATCTCCTGCTTTTCACTGTACTTAATTGTGACTTTAATGATGCATTGAGGAAGAAAGAATTTGCCAAGTTTAATTAGAAATAATATTTTTCATGCCCACACCTGAAATTAAGCATCTATGAGTTGCATAAGTCAAGGTATTTGTGATGACTGGTCATGGAATTTTTGGCTGCTTCTTGTAGAAAGTGGCAGCACTCTGTATCATACAACAATGATTTGCACAATGGTGCTCACTTATGATAAATGTCACCTGGTGTGGCTCAAGCGCCCTTCTCTAGTATGTCACAATTGCTGCAGAGGAAGAAAGTGGACTGGACTCTGTTTCTCTGTTTTCTGTGCCCTTTCAGTTGGATATGCTTTACATTTCTCATATTTTTCAATGCCCATCTGTTCTGTCAGCCTCAGTTAAAGGCTGATGGTGACTGCTTCATAGTTGTCAGTATCAGTATTCACCAACCTCAAATCTTGCTTATAATCTTTGTAGCAGTAGTATGAACACTCAAGTGGTCATGGCCAAGTGGCCAGTTCACAGTTCAGAAGGTCTTTGGGCATAATAACCTTCATTCATCTGATGAGCATTGCTGAGCCAGCACTGACATCGTTGACTTAGCAATGAGTGTACTTAATGCGATTACTATGCTCTAGTTGGTAATCTTATCCTGCAAAGAGATGTTAAGGATATATCTTAAGACAGTGAAGTTGGAAACTGTCCAGCCTTTCCTCCTGCCTTATAAATTTGTCCAGATCTCATGACTGCAAAGGAATGTGATGAGGACATATGCTTATGAGGGTCACAGTTTGGAGTTCTCAGGCAGTTTGCTATTGTTCCACATTCTCCACACTCAGCGTGAACATAGCAGCTTCATATTTTGTGTTGTGTGTGTTGATTTTAATAGCAGATGACAGATTGCTGGTGATTGAAGAAGTTGTCAAGAACCTAGAATGTCACATCAGTATTAGTAGGTGATGGTATGGCAACATCCTGGACCAAGACATTTGTTTGTTGGAATGGAATGTTAGTGCAGCATTATCAACATAGAGCAACTCTTTGAGTTCTGAGGAAGGGTCACCGGACCCGAAACGTTAACTCTGTTTTCTCCTTCACAGATGCTGCCAGACCTGCTGAGCTTTTCCAGCAACTTTGTTTTTGTTCCTGATTTACAGCATCCGCAGTTCTTTTGGTTTTTATAGAGCAACTCTAATTGTCACACTTTTTTGACTTGAATCTCTGGTGAGTGAGGCTGAATAGCTTTCCATCAGTTCTGGCCTCTTTGTAAACAGCCTCTCTAGATTACCTGAAGGCATAGGACAACAGCAAAGAGAAGATTGTGCCAGAGTGTCAGGGCCAATACTCAACCTTTTTGACCCCACTCTGGATCTTGAAGGAGTCTGATGTGGCCTTGTTCTTAATTGACCTGAACAATCACGTTATCGTGGAAAGAGGAGATCACATTTGAGTGGCTTTGGCTGGCAGCTAATTTTCTTGAGTAACTTTAATAGATGACCTCTGCTTACAAAATGTTGGTAGGAATGCCTTGCAGAACTGTCAGTTTCTCCTGAGATAACAAGGTGTGGAGCTGGATGAACACAGCAGGCCAAGCAGCATCAGAGCAGGAGGAAGGCTGACGTTTCAGGCCTAGACCCGACGTCAGCCTTCCTGCACCTCTGATGCTGCTTGGCCTGCTGTGTTCATCCAGCTCCACACCTTGTTATCTCAGATTCTCCAGCATCTGCAGTTCCCACTACCTCTGCCAGTTTCTCCTACTTGATTTAAGTGGTATAGCATCTGCACCTGGAGTTTTACCCATGGGATGTGAGTCATTTGCTTTGCTAAGTTGCTCTTATGTTAAATATCCACCTCTGCCACGATAGGCAAGCTTTCTATAGTCTCTAGAGTGTCCTCTCTGGAGTCCAACTCAAGGTCATGTTCCGTCATCTCTTCAGCTGTTTATTGTAGTCAGTAATCTCCCATACCTTTGTTTTCAATGGAGCCACTTTCTTTGATGATGGAATCTTGTCTTTTTAATGTCTTCATACATGTCCCTGCCATCCCTTGTGTTGAAGGACATTTGGATGTTCTGACAGTATTGTAACCAGTGGTCATTGATGCATCAAATAACAATCTTTTAGACTTTCCCTCATTCAAGTGGCGCTTAACGTATTCAGAGATTCCTCTCTCATAGCTCATTTGTAATTAACAAGAGCAGATAGTTTGATATCCAGTTCCATCATGGTGCTGTTCGCCTCAAACCAATCAATATTTTTCTCCTCTTGCTTCGTATATGTTAGCAGAACAGTCTTGTAGACGGCCTCCAAAAGAAGGGTCCATTTCATTTTTGGACCTTTTGTGGGAGTGCTGAGTGTCTATTCAATTATCTTGTGGAATCGTTGGTTTTTAATCTGAGTAGACAGTATAGCTGTCATTGATACGAGGGCAGTGTTTCACCTCTGAAAAAGCCTCCAAGGGTTGCATCCTCACTCTAATGTACATCAGAGAGACACATGGATCATAGCTAATGATCTGTGGTGGAAGCAGTGTGTGTTGAGGATCTTGTTCAGAGAGTCGCACCTACTGATGATCAGATTCGCCTAATACTAATGCCCTGGTCTTGGGTGTCTTCAGGATACTTTGTGGAATAATTTTTCCTGAAAGAAGATGTTAGCTACACAAAACTCTTGGTCGCAATGAAGTAGTTTAACTAGTTTCTGTCTGTTGTCATTTATCTTTCTCAAGCCACGATTTCAGGGCGGGAATGCTATGTCTCGTTGTCCATATCCACACTTGTATTACAATTCCCAGTAGGTAAAGATGCCCTGAATTCAGGGATTCTGCACATAATGATGTGAATCTCCTCATAGAACTGAACTCTATTGAGGTTAATTGGCCCCATTTGAATTGCGAGATGGTTGGAAAGAAGCTATTCTAGACCCTTTTTTTTTAAAGAGGGTTGGAGTGGCTTGATGATAGAAAGTAGATTAACAGCAAAGCCTACCCTTTGCTCACATGTTTCCTGTGAATTCTGTTCCTGCCAGATGAATGTGTAATGTTTTTCTTTTGGTGGTCTGCTGTCTGTGAACCTGGTCTCTTGCAGGAATGCTGTATCAATGTTCAGCCTGTCATGTTCACAGCTTTCACACCCGTGTTGTCAACCAGCTGCACACCATACTTTAGTACCCAGCACGTGGTCCTGACTTTCCAGCTTGCTAATCAAGGAGCTGGCATCCTCTTTTGTTTTACCTGCTACAATCAATTCCGTTCATTTGTTGAGCAGAGACTCTTAAGTTCCAAGCACACATTGAAGCAAATGGATCATTGTGGGTCAGTTACTTACCGATCATGGGATACCTATAGCTGACCCATGGGGACATGGTCATCCCTCCCACAATTGGAGACAGCCCATAGCACCAGTTTTCTGTGCCATTTCGGTTGACCTTACTACTAGGAGCTGCCTATTCCTGTGGTGTTTTAGCAAATGCATCATTACTGGAGTGTCATCTTCGGGGCAGAGGCCTGGTCAAAATTTATGGCTACCTGGGCTGTGCAAACATCAAGGTCTTCCTTGAACCTCCTTGGTTGAATCCAGAGAAATATAAAGCACTACTTTGGCACCAGCTTGGTTGAAGGACTTGCAGGAAAGATAGCATGTTTAGACATTTGGTCCACTTTCGGGCTCCACTCTAGATGTTTTTATCAGGACTTACTTCCTTAACCTCTAGTTCTCCCAAAATATCTACAATACAGTGGAACTATTCACTTACAGCTGGAACTTTGGCTTATGAGTGCCAGGGTGTGATTAAATGCCAGTAGATATAAACACAATATCTGGGGGTCAAATTTCCTCCACCCTGTTTAAAAAGGTGAATGTGTGGTGTCTAATGCGTGGGCAAAAATAATTCATGTTTTTCATTTCTGTTGTTAGTTTGCTTCTTGTTTTCAGCCCAGACTTCTAGCTAGCAGCCATGTGGAAAAGAAGCAGCCAATTATTAAGTCCATCAGCAAGCTTTTGGTTAAATCTTCTAGTGATGACATGGAAACTGCTTCCCTCGACTCCCCAGATTAAACCTTAGGAAGACCTCAAAGGAAGTTTAGCCCTTAGCCTTGCAAAATGGCAGT